GAACCAGATGGTGGTCGGCATGGCTCGATTCATGATGAAGGCCAAGAGCATGCCGGCAAGGTTCTGGGGTGAGGCGGTGACCACGACAGTGTTCATCCTCAACCGCGCACCCACCAAGGCCCTGAAGGGCAAGACGCTGTTCGAAGCTTGGTATGGGCGTAAGCTGAGAGTGCCCTTCCTCCGGACATTCGGTTGCATCGGCCACATCAGGAAGACGAAGTCGATCCTCACCAAGCTAGAGGACAGGAGCACACCAATGGTGTTCCTGGGCTACACGGAAGGTACCAAGGCGTACCGGCTCTATGACCCACGTGGAGACAAGGTGCTTGTCTCGTGGGACTAGAACAATCCGAGCACGGGGGAAGCTAGCGGCTTCACCAGCACTTTCATCATCGAGCACTTGGTCATCCACGGTGGTGGAGACGCTAGGGAAGAGGTGCCGAGCACTCCGGGAGGGGTGTCGAGCACTCTAGAAATAGAGCCGAGCACTCCTGGGGCGGTGCCGAGCACTCCGGGAGGGGTGCCGAGCACTCCAGGAGTGGAGCCAAGCGGTCCTGCAATGGTGTCGACCACTTCAGGATGGGTGCCGAACACTCCCATAGCGGAGCCGAGAGGTCTTGTAGTGGTGCCGACCACTCCAAGACTAGGGCTGAGCACTCCTGCAGTGATGCAGACCACTCCAGGAGTAGTGACGAGCGGTCCAAGAGTAGTGCCGAGCACTGCATCCGGGGTGCCGAGCACTCCAGGTAATATGTCGATCACTCCGGCGGAACAGGGAACTCCATCGGTGCCGATCGAGTTTGCCTCACCTCCAAGTGACATCACTGAGTTCGTAGATGCCTTCCACGAAGGTGAGGAGGTACGGTTCCATAGGCTGGATGACATCGTCGACGGCACAGGGCTCTCAGCCCTAGCAGGTAGGCTGCTCAATGACCCAGAGCTACTGCTCGTCAGTGCAGAGAAACCACCCACGTTCGCGCTAGCCGAGCGCGATGGAAATTGGCGACAGGCGATGCTGGAGGAGTTGAAGGCAATCGAGGAAAACGAGACTTGGCAGCTCGTCGATCCACCTCCAGGATGTCATCCGATCAGCCTGAAGTGGGTGTACAAGGTCAAGCGGGATGAGCACGACGCCATTGTCAAGCACAAGGCGTGACTCATCGCCCGAGGCTTTGTCCAACGCGAGGGCATCGACGTAAAGGAAGTCTTTGCGCCGGTAGCGCGCATGGAGTCTGTCTGTTTGCTACTAGCTTTGGCAGCAGCAAAGGACTGGCGCGTCCATCACCTGGATGTAAAATCGGCCTTCCTCAATGGTGAGCTAGCGGAGACGGTCTTCATCAGACAACCTCCGGGTTTCACTATCAAGGGAGCGGAGCACAGGGTGCTCCGACTGCGCAAGGCGCTCTACGGGCTGCGGCAGGTCCCGCTAGCGTGGAACGCCAATCTTGACACCACGCTAGGCGAGCTTGGGTTCACGAGGTGCGCAACCGAGCACGCGCTCTACACGCGGCGACGGGGGAAGGAGGAGCTCGTCGTCGGTGTGTATGTGGACGACTTGATCGTCACTAGCGCGCGTGCAGAGGACATCGACATCTTCAAGCACGAGATGGCGGCTCATTTTTGAATGAGCGATCTCGGCGTGCTCTCCTACTACCTCGGCATTGAGGTGAGACAGGAGAAGGAGGCATTCACGCTCGATTAGAGAGCGTACGCCTTGAAGCTATTAGAGCGGAGCAGCATGGCTGAGTGCAAGCCGTGCGTGACTCCGATGGAGGAGCGGCTGAAACTGACGAAGGCCAGTACTGCGGCGAAGGTGGATGCAACACTCTACCGGAGCATCATCGGTGATCTGCGCTACCTAGTCCACACGAGGCCAAACATTGCGTTCGTTGTGGGCTATGTCAGTCGCTTTATGGAGGATCCCAAAGAGGATCACTGGGCTGCGGTGAAGCGGCTATTGCGCTACGTCAAGGGGACGGTGGATCAGGGGATCATCTTTCCCAAGTCCGGCGGAAGTAGGCTGTAGCTCACTGTGTTTAGCGATGCAGACATGGCAGGGGACATCGACGGACGGCGGAGCACCTCTAGCGTGCTCGCCTTCCTCGGATCGGCTCCAATTTCATGGCTGTTGCTAAAACAGAAGGTGGTGGCGCTATCCACGTGCGAGGCAGAGTACGTGGCGGCGGCCACAGTGGCGTGCCAAGTTGTGTGGCTGCGTCGGCTGCTGGGCGAGCTGACCGATATGGAAGCTCACCCACCAGCACTAATGGTGGACAACCAGCCCGCCATCGCCCTCGCGAAGAATCCGGTTCTCCATGACCGGAGTAAGCACATCGACGTGAAGTTTCACTTCCTCAGGGACTGTGTCGATGGAGGGTAGATCATCATCGAGTTCGTTGAAACTGGTCGGCAACTCGCGGACGTCCTCACCAAGCCGCTCGACCGTCTTCGACTCACGGAGCTGAAGAAGATGATCGGCATGGAGGGGGTTCTAGGGTTAGCAGCAGGATCAGGGGAATAATTATTAGATAATTTGCTGCATCCCTGTGTGAACACACTGCAGGGGAAGGCGGCACCGAAAAGGCTCCCCGCTGTGGTACTGTAGCCGTTGCAGGGGCAGGCGCCGAACGACTCACCTGCCGCACTATAGCCACAGTAGGGGCAGGCGCCAGAGTCAGCCCTGCTGTCTTATCTAGTCACTGTAGCAGCATGACAGCTGTACTAGGATTATATGGGTAGAGTTATATATATAGTTTGCCACTGCAACTCAGTAAAGAGAGCGAGTTCAGTTTTACCATCTCCTCTGCAGAGCTTCAGCCAACGCGCGGTGCTTGTGATGTGTGTGTGTGTGTGTGTGCTCTGTTCTTCCTCCCTTCTTCTACCTCTAGCCAGAATGTGTGGTCGAACAACGTTTGTCGTGGTCGGCAAGAGTGGTGAGTGGTCGACTCACCTAAGCCGGTGATCCTGTGGGCCAACAAATGTACCCGCTGTCCCATTTCCCTTCCTCTTCTATGATGGCTCCTATTGCTAGTTAGATGTGTGACACCTATCACCTCGCTAATCTGTTGGTGTCATGCCATCATCTGTCTAGCTCTGTCCTCCTCTCTAGTGGCTCCTGCCACCAATGTTTTTAATAATCACCAATGTTATTTAGCAGCTGAGTTCTACAGAGGCCATAGAAGGCTACAGCCTCAATAGCCAAATTTAGCGTCTTAACAAAAGCACTTGTTAGAACTCAATGAACAGTACACATGTAAACATGGAATTAATATCGTTTCATCTATCTAATCAGGGACTCTTGTCTCCCTGCTGCTAACACTTCAAAGAATCAAAGAAAAGAACTCGATCTAGAACAAATGAGAGAAGTCTCAGAACTATGAGAAGCATGGTTTTGTAGGCGTTGTGGCATCCACCTGGATGCCTAGGTGATGACTAGGCGACACCTCGAAACCATGGTGAAAAGAGGGAATGAAATTTTGTCTACATCTGTCCACTAGCTAAGACATTGTGTCAAATTGAAAGTCAAAAGATGGAGTGCTTCAAGCTTAGCTTGGTGGTGTTCCTTACTGCAACTGTCATGTGGTTGCACTCATAGCCATCGTACCACCGTCGTCACAGCCAAAGCCACTCTTTTTGGAGAATTGGACAATAGGAGTGTGAAATGCAACGTCAAAGTTGAATGATGCCTGCATAAGTGGCGCATAAGTCATTTTAGGACTTGCTGGTTTGGCCTAGGAAGAAGCCACATCTTCATATTTGGCTTGACAACCCTGAATAGCGCCGCTAAATGGTTCTCAATTTTGCGGACTTAGCGTGCTAATTACCGCTATTAGCGCTAAAAGCTAACTATCGTAGCTTCTGCCCTCCCCAAACACAATAGCCACTATAGAGGTGTCTAAATCTGTCTATTTAAAACATTGTTTGCCATTCGTGCCGCCTCATTAACCCACCGACGTCGCTGCTGTAATCCTAACCCTACCCACCAGTTGTCCTCCATCGCTTAGATGACGACGACACCACTACACTTTGTAGAAGGGAAGTTGGCCTAAGGTGGCAATCATATGACACTAACTCGTCTGTCTGGAAAATCTGAGTGTTTCGTTCTTAATTGGCATCATTTTTCATCGGGGCTCTTATGTTCTTGTCCCTACTTTGATGTGCAATTGTGATTTTGCCCTCGTTTTTCTAACTTTGTGATTTTGCCCTTAACTGTAGCAAAGTCAACGCGATTTTGCCCTTGGTCAATGGTAAAAACAGGGGCAAATTCGCGTTGACCAGGGGCAAATTCGCGTTGACTTTGCTACAGTTAAGGATAAAATCACAAAGTTAGAAAAACGAGAGCAAAATCACAATTGCACATATGTGTAAGGGCAAGAACACTATTTTCCTTTTTTTTCATTCGGAATCTGGACCTGGTTCTTGTTCCGTTGTGTGCGTACACTGTGGAGGGACGCTGACCGCGAGAAAGCGGCTGTGCTGCTGCTGAGCTGAAATCACGAAGCCAATCATGCCGGCGGTGCTGCCTGGCTGGGCCAGGACGGCCAACCGACCGTCCCCGGCGGCCCCGGAATCTTTTGTTTTGTCTAGGAGATCTTGAGCACCAGGCCGGGGTCGACACGTGGAGAGCCTCGCACTCCTTTGCGTCGTGTCACGTGTGCGTCCTATGCGGTTGGAGAGCTCAATGTGATGTGACTGACTCCGACCTGACCTGTGAAAGAAGGGTCGCCGCTGGCTCCGGGTCCAGGTGTCCAGCTAAAGCTAAGACATCAACTATTGTGAATTATTTAATGCTAGCTGTTTTAACGTGAGAAAAAATACTATTCCAACTAAAAATTTGTGAGGAAGCCAAGCCTGCCGACATGCTCATGCCAACTCCTTTACAATCATATGCGAGGAAGCCAAGCCTGCCGACATGCCCATGCCAACTCACTGTGTGCGTAAGCTGGCGAGGTCCCGAGAGCAGCTCACAGATGGCACGGCAGGCGATTTTCATCTGCTTTTCAGGACGCCCAGCGCAAGCGCACCGAGATGGCGAGGTAGGTGCGGTGTTTGAAGTATAGGTACCTGACTAGCTGATGTTGAGGCATCGACATCGTCCCCTGGGAGCAGAGTAGCATGATCAGTGAGCTTATTAGGTCAAACAGAATTTAGAACAGCGATGAATTTGCGAGCCTAGGCATGAATTCTTCAAAGAAACGTGTCAATTCCTTTGCGGTTGTTCCTGAAAGAAGGAACTGCTGTTCACTGTCATGGAAAATTTACAACCGGCTGATGATCTGTACTAGCATGAGTTTCTTTGCTACACAAAACACCCTACATTACAGTACAACTGAAACTCAGCACACGGAGTTCAGCAAGAATCAGGGGGGAAACGTATGCCTAGAGCATAGTTACAGAAAAATTACTTCAAGCTTTGCACAGGGATGGTCTTTGATATATTGCTCGAGTTCAGAATCATCTCTAAATCTGAAACCGTACAAAGCCTGACGTTGCGTTAGACCGACTGGGTAAATTCTGTATACTTTCAGGTCATCCCCACCTCTAAGACTCGGTGGTCTTTCGTCCTTCCATACAGGAACGTGGTTGAGGGACCTAAATTTACCGAGCACTGCAGATTCCAAGGCTCCCAGTGTTAACTGGCCTGATCTGCACAGTATAGATAGCAAACATGTTTGAACATGTACAGGGAGCAAGATGCAATGAAAGATATTGTCATTCAACACAACTTGGCAGTCATTGAGGCATTGAGCAACACAACTAGCAGGATAGCTCGCTCAATTATGAGAAAACAAGCAAAAGAGATGAGACTACAACCCATATGAAGTTTCGCCAGTAAGACCTAGAGTTTTATTTGCACTTCTTATCTACGTCGTTATAATATAGCCTCACCAATCTAACCTTTCTAGATCTTTAGATTAAAGATTTTTGTAGCTTTCATATCTCAAAAGTAAGGGTGAGAACAAAAGTAAAACTTCCATACCTCATATAAATGCTCTCTGACTTAAACCGCCCCCTCTCTCGGATAAATAAGTGGTAAACTGTTCCCTTCTTGCTGGAACAGCTACAAGGACGATTTGCAAATTTTGGAGTCCTTTCCTCCTTTAAATGGATCTTGGTAGCAATATGTATACAAAGACGACAAGATGAATGAACTGCTGCCATGTCAATAAGAGCTTTGAAAGAATCAGATGGACCATCATACTTCCACCTAAGATGCAAATAAAAGAATGAGATGTGTTTACTGTTAGTACAAAACCATGACGGATGCTATAATAATGTCTGCTTGATGATCTTTGACAAACCCACATGCTTGATGCTACAATAAGCCTTTATCAATATAGCTAGGATCAAACCCATATGTTACTCAGGAAGTTTTATTCACTCTTAATTTAGTACAGATATTCAGGATCAAGACTTCAGATGCTTCAGAACTATCAATATTCAAAGAAACTGTGAACAGGGACCTAAGGCCCCGTTTGGGTGTTCCTGTTTCCTCAAACTGTAGTATTGGGAAACCACAGTTTTAAAAACGGTAGCCATCTAATACTATAGTATTTATAAACTAGAGTTTTTCTCTGTTTCAGAAAAGCCATGACATGTTTGGCTACGTAGCAATACCGCCAATACGCTGCTTTTAAAATTCGTTGGTTCTGTCCTTGCTTGTAAAAATAGCATGTATATGTGTGTACATATCAATCCATTCTTTATTTAAATAATGTTTATAGTACAACGAAACAGATCGGATGAGCAATCAAACTGTCCTTCTCGATCAAAACAGAATTGTTTTTGTTACTAGTCTTGCCATATTTTTTATCCCATTGATGATCGGATAACACGAAACCTTGAATGCAAACTAATCACGTGTCTTAGGGCGTCCCCAACAAGCGCATGCAAGCTAGCTATTTGCATACGTGGACAGCAGAGAAATATTAAAAAAAACTCAACGCTAGCGAGAAGCTCGTCGCTCAGCTCGCACACCTCCCTATGAAACCTGCTGTCTCTATCATCCTGACCCACCCATGTAAGCTGTGCAGCTAAATATTTGTTTATTGTTTCGGTTCCGCTCCTCGCCTGTTGATTTTAGGCCGCCGTTGAGGACGCCCTTAGCTTGCCCTTTCCTCCCATCCTGCCCATCTCCGCTTGGCACGAAAGCAGCACGGGTGGAATCGTGGAATGCATGAGAAAGGAGGCGTGTCAAGAAAATGAGTACACGCGCCGAGTGCCAAGCTCTGTCAAGAAAAAAGAGGGTCCAGGTGGAGTTTCCAGAACTCCAAAAATACTGTAGTTTTATAAATACTGCGGTTTCTAAAACTTCAAAGTTTATTCTATCCAAACACTTCCTTCCTTCTTAATACCTAGGTGTTCTGTAAAACTGTAGTATTATTCATATAAAACTCCAAAATAACTTTGTATCCAAACAGGGCCTACGTCTTATTTGGAGTGGTAAACAAAACGACTTTAGAGTAAAACATACATACGTGACCTTAAATTTGTTGTGGAGTGCTATCAAGGTCCATTGAACTTTGAAAAGGCATATTGGACCTCGATGACACATTTAACAGGTTTATTTATGGACCCTAATCTGCAGTTTCAAAGTTTATGTTAGATATGGACCTGAATGACATGCCATGACAATTTTAAGTATCACTCATGAATTTCAGCCTGTTCGCTTGGTCGTAAACGATCGTAAATTTCCAGCCAGAACAGTATTTTTCTCTCACACCAAACCAGCCAGCAGTAAATAATACATGATCATTTACGGCCTCCCGAACAGGCTGTTTATCATTCCTTTTCACGCTCTATTCGTCACCAAAATATGTTGAGGAAGTTTTAGCTTCACAGAAACTGTGCTCTAGGTTGTATACGTAGGTGCATTTATGTTCACTGGATTGGAAGTGTGGACTATTGGAATAAATGGACTGATGTGGCGCTATTAATTTGGTTTGATGGAAATTTCTGGCAGCATATCTTGCATGAATATGTTATGTGCAATTGTATTCTTAGGATTAAAATTGGATGGTGGGATTAATCAGGGTGATGTTGCCCTTTCTCGTGCCCTAGTTTGTGCTCAGTTTAGATGGGAGATAAGATATCAATTTTGAGTAGAAAAACCGTAATACGCCCAATGATAACAGCACACAGTAAACTAAGACTTGAACGTAAGTACAAAATACAAGAATCTAGAGTTTTGCACCAAGTAATTGATGCAAGCAGATAATTTAAGAAATCTATATAATCTATAAGAGTGAAACAAGAAAGTAAAATCTAATCCTGGTAGAGGCTGATAGTAGAACACTGCATTCCACAGCCACAAGCTAGAAAACATCATAGTTTTGTCATTCAGGGGCATATTTGTTTACCCAACTTATAAGACACATTATACAATCCAGGGTCCTCTAGTTTATTTAATCCTATAAGTTACCCTGGACCAACTTATTTCAACTTTTATCTTCCGCACATATAAGCTTGATTATATAATCTGGCAGGCAAACAAAAAGGGCATAAATACAAGAGCAGTAGAGCACTGCTATGTATACAGTGCCTGAGCAATAATACAGTACAGTCCTTACAAGTGGAACAAAACTCAAACAGCTATACATGACATCAGATTCATTCCAGATCATGTTAAATCAATATACGACCTTCCAGATATCATTGACTTTAAAATGATTTGCAGCACAATTACCTCAAAGATTGATTGAAGGCATCAGGATTTGAAGCAATATTTTTCATTGTTTTAGCAACCGAAGCAACATCATCAAGCTCCTTAATATGTAATATTGCGCCTTCTCCCGGAGAAAACTCTTGAATATTTGGAGCGCCAACAACAACTGGAATAGAACCTGTAGTGAAGGGCAAATGAAATATTAAACATCGCAGTTTGCTTTTTCCAGGATTTGAAGCAACTTTAGGCTTCACAAAATATAGAATGCGAATCAATCTGTACAGAAATGGAAGGTTATCGGGAATAATTCTTTCAGAATATATTTCAGTTGATGAAAATAAACATCGCAGTTTGCTTTTTCCAAGTCAAAAATATAAAATGGAATAAGTTTCTACATCAACTAATCAATTATGAAACAATCTAAAAAGGAAAGGAAGCCTACCCATGAGGTGAAAAAAATGATTCATCCTATGGAGATGAACCAAACAACAAACATAACCTCATGCTTGGCATGCCATGGGGGAAGAGAGTTTACAAAGGCAAAGGCAAATCGTGCGGGTGGATGGTTAAGGAATAAGGAGTATAAAAAGTCACCTGCTACCAGTGACTGAAAAAACTTCTCTGTTACGTAATCCTCCTCATTAGAATTCTCAAATGCCAAGCTGAATCTGTAGCGCTTCAAAGTGTCCACTTTGTCCACTGCACCCAAGCAAAAGATGTGAAGTGCATTAAATTTAGTTCTACATAATATAACAAAAATGCAACCCCACAGAAGAAACTATGCCTCAAGAATAAAAAGGATTACTTATCATAGACAAAGCATCTATTAAATCAAGAACCTGAATCTAACCATATGCAGCAGAGGAAGTGTACCTTTGCCATCACGGTTACGATGACAACTACCATATGAATCTATTTTGACATCCAAATTTTCAAGCATCTCAAGGGCTTGCAAACGAAAGTTCCGTGCACCACAGTTAGAAATAAAGGCTGCAGCAAGAGCTTCTTCAGTCTTTGGAGGCACAGGTGCCATGATATCATATTCAGCCCATGAAAAGTAGCCAACTGGTACATCTGAAGAAAGGCTGGTTATCATCACAATCTTGTACCCTCTCCTGTTATAGAAAGCAATGAAATTGCCAGACCATTAGAACATTAATTCTCAAAGTTAATAAATCATGCTTTTGAGGACAAAAGTCCAAAGTTGAATACCAAGGCATGAATGATAAAAACATGGTTTAGTATGAGGATAGCAATCAATGACGTTACTTAATTCAAGACCAAAAGTATTTCAAGCAGATGGGCTTGTCATGGATGCTTGCTTTGACCGACACCCCATTTTTCCTCTTTAATTGAAATAACATAATGGTTAAACATCAGCAAGAAACAGGTTTGGCAATTGAATAATACTCCATACATTCTTACAGTTCCATAAAAAAATAAGAAGAAACTGCAAACTGCATTGGCATTGGTCCATTAGCCTTGCACTTCTTAGCATAGATACAACAACAACAACAACAACAACAACAAAGCCTTTAAGTCCCAAACAAGTTGGGGTAGGCTAGAGTTGAAACCCATCAAAAGCAATCAAGGTTCAGGTACGTGAATAGTTGTCTTCCAAGCACTCCTATCTAAGGCTAAGTCTTTGGGTATATTCCATCCTTTCAAGTCTCCTTTTATTGCCTCTACCCAAGTCAACTTCGGTCTTCCTCTGCCTCTCTTCACGTTACTATCCTGACTTTTAGGAACTTCTTAGCATAGATATCAGAAGAAAAACTAGTTCCAGTGTAAAATAACCAATATACAGAAATAGATAATTTTATGGCCCATAAGTATTAAATGAAGAGTGCAGTTTAAGTTATGTGTACAAAATTCAGAATGTCAATTCAAATGGGCAAAGAAATCGTAGGAAATCACCGATCAGAATAACTTGGTTCTCACCCACCCTCGAGCCACATCAATATTATTCTCTGAATAATATTGAGATGATTCCATTGATCTAAGGATACCATCTACAGAAGGATCTGGTGCAATTCCAAAAGTAGCATCAGGTGTCTTACTCGCAGAAAAACCAAATTCGCATCCTACGTAGCATTTATTCCAATCCTGAGTGAGAAAAAGAAATACGTAAGTTTCAGATGTAGACAGATGTGGAGTAAGACATGGATGGGCCATTAATGTTACGGATATGCAGCACAATCTCCATAAATAGCAGCACATCACTAATTGCACAAACACGAACATATGGACCTATTATGCTTAAAGCATGTACAGTCCAACAGAAATGAAATTTCAAAAATCATTTTTTAGATAAAACGCCTTGTACCCTTCTTACTATACAAATCATAAACTCGTACATCAGTTTTACGACACAAGTTCTACTCATCATCAGCAATATCAAACAATAATAAATTAAAAAATGTAGTGGGACAAAAAAAAAACACAAAAAACTTCCTTAGCAGGGGTGGAGATTCGAGTCAGCCAGCTTGGGCTGTGACCCCTTTTTATTCTGGCAAAATATGTGTAACTAAAAAGCTAATGGCTTGTAATGCATGCTCGGCTCAAACTAGTATTTTGCCTACTATAATCTACCACTCTGTAAATTTAATAATTTATAGAACTATTATTTCCAGCGGTGATCTATAATTTCTATAGGTGGCCCCACTCTGTATTTTAGGCAAGTTCCACCACTGCTTTTAAAACAAAATACTTCCCAAGCTTTCAGTCAGAACAACAAAATTGCAACTGAGGATAAAATTGAATGGAGGACATTGAGCAGTTGCTTTTGCGAATTGTTTACTCCTTTGTATTTAGAACACACTCCTTGAGTAACACATGAACACTACCTCCACTTTCCTTTGTACATCAACAGGACACAAGAATCGTTCTAATCTAGGAGCAATACAATTCCCTCCCTCCAGAAAGAGAGGGATTGATGAAGAATAAGTGCCAAATGACAGTTTCCTAAACCATTGCTATTCAAACTTACAACATTTGTCTGAACAAACTATTCGAATTAACCATTTGAGACAATACAGGCATGCAGAGATGACATGAACTAGCATTTCCACAACTTTCTATTTTCATTCAAGGAACAGAGTACTAATCTAGAACAAAGGTTTAGGGCTTTAGGCATATATAAACATGACTGGACATAAAATCTAACCGGTTGAGCAGCTAGGCCGAGACAAGGCTGTCAGCTCTCATGCCAACCATGACCACAATGAGGCAGGACAGAGAGGGGAAACTAAAATGAAGCATTTCATTTTGGGTGATCTTATTTGTATCAGGCTCAATTTCTCTCTTTAACCTAGTTAAGCCACAAGCTACATGGATATGTGATACTTAAGGTTCGGTAATCATATAGGAACTAGTGGTACTCTCTCAGACTATGCACATACAAGTAAGCCACAAACAATCTGAAGAAGCCCTTGCATCATTCATTGATTTGTTATATTGTTATTCGGACGACTCAGTACTTCATAAATTCGTAATGAATGAAGATCTAAACTTGAAAAACACCAAGCATAAAATCCGTCATGCTTCACCGAGTATCGAATACTTCATTGGACGAATGCTAAGGTTACATGGTCTAGGTTTCAAACGACAGAGATTTCACCCGAACTTATGAAGCAACTTCGATCCACCTGAGCAGCAGATCAGTGGAGCCCATTCGTTAACAAACTAACTTCCCTAACTCAAACTAAGAGCACGAGGGAAAAGGTATGCACTAGACCTTGGCAGCGCCACCGACAAGCACGGGATCCCTGTCGAAGTCGCGGTCGTAGGGCACGGCGTCCTCCCTCTCGAGCCGCTGCTCGCACCACCGGATCTCTTCGTCCTCCCCGTCGCCGTCGCCGTCGCCGCCGCCGCCTGCCCTCGGGACCGCGCCCCCGCCCACGGCGTCGCCCCAATGGGCGGAGCGGCGGTAAAAGGAGGTGGTCCAGCTCTCGACCGCCTCGGCGTTCTTCGCCATGTCGAGGCGGCCGAGGAACGCGATCTCGGCGAGGAAGGCGGCGCCTACGAGGAGCGGCAGCAGCCACCCCCAGCGCCGCCGCCGGCCCGCCTGCGCCCCCGCCGCCTGCGAGTGGGAGGAGCCCTTCATCGCTGGCCCTCCTCGAGGCCGCCTCGCCGGCGCCGGCGGGGGAGTGGTGGAGAGATCGCGGGGGCCGACCGCGAAGGGGGGCGCAGTCGTTGGACGACCTGGTCAGGCGAGTTTGGAGGGAACGAACCAACGACCCCAACGCCAGCAGCCCGGATTTGGTTCTGTTCGGCCGCTCGGTCGGCTCCATTGACACGGACGGGCGCCGGCGAGAAGCAGGCAGGTGGTGTGGGCACCACATGTCAGAGAAATGGTGTGGGCAAAGCCGCAAAGGCCTTTTTTCTTTTTTTTTAGAATCCGCAAAGGCTTTTGTTGGAGAGCCCGCCGGTGGGAATTGGACCGCTGATTCCATCTTGTAGCGGGCTGTTACAGTTGGGCCCAAAGTAGTCCTGGTAGTTCAGGACTTAGATGGAAGCTTGGGCTTTAAGTGAAACCAGGCCGACATCGGAAATTTTCCTTTCGACCTCCCTCACTATTATAATTCAATTTTTTTTAAGAATTGTAAAAACAAACAAACGGCATCCCTCAGCTACCAAAACCATTTAAATTATCTACTTGCCCCAGTTAAAATATTTTTAAGGAAGTTTCATCTTTTTTTTTAATTAAATTCTAGGAAACACCCAATAAGATTTTTAAACCACAAAAAAACTTCCCTAAGCTCTTTTAAACCACAAAAAAAAGCTTCTCTAAGCTTTTAAAAAATCCGAGAGAAATCCTATATATAGATTAGGACACAAGGCCCCAGATAAAATTTTTAAATCTTATAGAAACTTCTGGAAATTATATTTGTCTCTAGGAAAATGGAAAAAATAGTCTCAAAACATTATAACCCATGTCTAAATGTGTTTAAAATTTTTCTGTCGGGTTCATAAACCCGGGGTCTCTAATAAGCTCGCTTCTCAGCAAAATCTCAGCTCCGCAGACGACATTAAAAATGACGCACAACTCGTAGGCCGGCCCAGATACCTAACGACAGGCCGGAAGAGCGATCCAGTCTCCGACAGGAAGGCCTGGCCAAGGAGGGGATGACGCTTGCTTCCGACTCCGATCCGCTTTTCCGACCGGAAGGTCTGGCCAAGGAGGGGACGACGCTCACTTTCGACTTCGACCGGGAATACACCGAATCTTTGCTTACGGCTCTTCTCCGACCGGCGCAGTCGGAGCTGACTAGAAACGACCGACCGGGGACGCCCGCTCGGTGAGTGTAACAACCCAAAAATCCACACACTAAAAATTCCAACTACAAAAAATTTTACTGTTACCCCATGCAATGTTGAGTGACATCTATAGGAGCCAACTCTAAGTGTTGCATTAGAAGTAACCCAACTAGACAATTTCATGAGCATGGCATGTCATTTGTTATCATTTTATTTAAATACTGACAAATGAAACATAGCATACATTGTCAACTCAAATGGTGATTTGGATTTTCATTTGTTTTATGTAATGTCTAACAACATCTTTAAAGAAATAAACCATAAAGTAGTTATTACTCAAACCAAAGAATAAATGTATAAAGAGAAAACTATTTCTATTTTTGTATAACAAAACTACACTTATTTTTGTTATACAAAATAGCTAAATAAATTCATAATATATATATAAAAGAATGTTGTGGGTCTCATATCTAAAACTACAATGACTAAGGTACATCAATTTTGAATTCAAATTTCAAACCAAATTAGAATTCAAACAAAGGAGAAGAAAAATAAAACAGAAAAAGGAAAAAGAAGGGAAGAAGGTCCATGGTGGCTCGGCTGCTTCGGCTCATTGGTGTTGCATGCAGCAATGACCCGAAATGGCTTTTGCTGCTGCAAGAAGAAGCCCGGCCCAACTTCATGACCACCAGCCGGCCATGGCGGTGACGCTCACGCCCGCGCGCCTCCCCGCTTCGCTTGCTGTCACTACCACCGGACCCCACGCGTCAGCCGCACACCGCCACAGTGTCGTCTTCCTCCCTATGCCGGCACCACCTTCGACCGTGACTCAACCAAAATGATAGGCGCGGGCCCGGGGTCACGCGAATCGCCTGGCCCTGTCCCCTTGGCGCCGCGCCCACGCAACCTCCGCGCCAACCACCCACGCCCGCGATGCCGTTCGATGCCAACGGCGCATCACCAGCCGTCCGCCATAGATGGAGCTCGGGCACCGGGGGCTATAAAGCCACGCCCAGAGCCCTAGGGATCCCTTAGCCACCGCCGCCGCTTGGTGGCCCAGCAGCCCGCATCGCACTGAGAGAAGAGGGTCGAGAAGGAGTTCGTGAGAGGAGGATCGGAGCCACCCGCGTGCTGCCGAAGTCATCGGAGCCAAAACGATGCCGTTGTCTTCATCACGGTCGCGGGTTGGCACTACACTGCTTCCGTCTACACGGCCACGACCCTCCCCTGCACCGCCATCCTTTCGCCTTCGACACCAACAGTGAGCCCCTCGCTGTTGAGACTCCTCCTAGCACCATGGACGTCGTAGCAGAGCACGCGCATGCCGCGCTCACGACGCCGCCATCATGGCGTGGCCACCACTTGCGCACTAGTCCGCCTCGCCAGACCAGGACATAGCCGTAGCACCACCATGATGCCTGAAGGGTAGCCGCGTAGACCGAGACCCCGTTAGCCGACCACAGCGCCCTGGCCACGAGCATCGGACCTCGCCCGGAGCTCCGCCGTGCACCATCACCGTGGGTGGACTCCGCCACGTCTTTTGGTCGCCGTCGTCACTTTGCCCGGTCGCACGCTAGCAGTCTAAACGGGAACGGGGCACCAGGACCATTGGAACAGCCCTAGCTGCCCCGCCGGTGAGCACCGCCACAACCAGGCCGTCGACCGCCGTGGCCAATGCCCTAGAAAGCCCCGACCGCCACCTAGACCCCACCATCGTGTTCGCCATGGCCTGGGGAATCTTTACCCCACCTTAATTGAACGCCAGCGCCGCCGTAGGATCATGCCGGTGAGCACACCACCGGCGGGAGCACGCCGGGGATGGAAAACAGAGGGCTTCCCTCGTCGGCCGCACGCGCCTGCACTCGGTGCACGTAGGCTAAGCCAAAAGGGAAGGAGGGTGGACTCGGTCCACCGAAGACCAGCCAACAGTCCATGGACCGTGAACATGAGTCCACCGTGAGCCACATGGTGTGGGCCAAACGGTGGACAAATCCCATTGGAGGCCCTCGGCTACGACGTGGCAGCGCCACAGCATGCCACGTGTCCGGCCCGGCCCAAAGCCCAGCCCATATCTAGGCCCAACCGGCCCAGTTCGGACCCGGTCTGTGTTGACCGTTGACCGATCAACGTTGACGGTTGACCTGGCCCCACATGTCAGTGTCACAGAGACACGGGACCCACATGTCGGTAAGTGACGTCATACTAACGTCATGACGACGTCACACGGGTCCCACCCGTCAGTAACAACACAGCCGTGGTGACGTCAGCAGCCCTGGCCCCACACGTCAGTGACTACGAACCGTTGACCGTTGACTCGCCCGTTGATTTAGCATTGACTTTGACCGGACCCACAGGTCAGTGACCCAAGAGCCTCTGGCCCCACCTGTCAGGAACGATGGCGTTGATGACGTCAAGCTGACGTCAAGATGACGTCAGCAAGGACCCCACTTGTCAGCTCGGAGCCGAGATGATGATGTCATGCTGATGTCAGCATGCCACGTGGACCAGACACAGCGTGACATGTGTCAGCCCAGGATTAATTCAGCCTTTTCCATTTTCAGAAATGATTTAAACTTCGGAAATTCATAACTAATTCATATGATCTCAGAAAAATACGAAACCAGGACCAGAATTCATCTAAAATCAAGCTCTACGCAATGAACCCATGTTTGAGTGCATTTGGATCTTTTGAATTTTCATTGCTTCTTTATGCTATTCTATAAACGTCGCTAACGCGACTATAATGCGATCGTTGCAGACTCGTAGGAGAACCAGATAGACGAGGATCGTGAGTACCATGAGGAGTATGGAGACGACTACACTGAAGGTGCCACATCCCACCCAATCTCGTAGCACCTATTACGCATGGCTAAAATAGAAATGCTAGTGCTTTACTTTATTGTTATGATCACACTATGATAGGACTTGCATGGTAGTATGCTTTCTTGATGGCCTTTACCTTGACGTAACCTTACCCCTGCTCACCTTGCTGTTAGGCTAGTCTCACGCTTGCTACTATATTTCATTGCTTATTACTTCTACTACGCTTGTACTACATTGATGCGTGGTGGAAACTGGTGATATCTGGACTAAGGGGAGAGTGTTGTGTGTGTGACTTGTGTGCGTGGAGGGTGAGGGTTGTGTCGACAAAGTTGGAGTATACGACGAGCCAAGGGCAAGTCTTGCCGTGGGATGCTATATGGGCACCCCTAGAATGAATACCTGTGGTGGGTAAATGGTATATGAGGTGGCCCTGGGTGTGAACCTGTGATGGGAGGAGCCCAGGGTGGAGGTGCTGTGGTGGCACGGTAAATGGAAACTCTGATGAAGACATTCTGGCTTGGTCATCCCTAAGGACTTACTAGTACTCAGATTCACCGGGAAGCCTTACATACCACTCGTCCTATATGGTGCGGGACGGCCGGACTACTTGGTAGGATATTGCCACTACTGCTAGGTTGATAGCGGACAGTGTGAGGGAGGTACGGGGCGCGGAGGATTTTCCCCACACCCTTTTGAGACTTCATGGAGACCTTGTGGACCCGGCTCATGACTCACAGTTTCAGCCACCCCAGACTAGACTTGGAGTGTACCTGGGCTGAATGGTAGAGTGGCATTATCCTAGGTTAGCAAGCGGTCGGAATCAGCCCAGTTGACGACGGTCAGCGAGGAAGGCGGATCTTGTGGTTATGTAAAACCTCTGCAGAGTGTATGGTTGATCGATCGATATATATGCCGACTTGTCGGCTATGGACCTTTTCTGGGTTTCGCTTAAACTAGATAGTGAGATGAGTCATTCTCTTCTCCCTCTGGGAGTGAGTGTTCGGACGTAGCCAGGGGCTACGG